ACACACACAGTAGACACACACGCTCTAATGTGCTAATCCCTGCTTTTCTCTAAAATCCACTAAACAGCTTCACAGCGAAGGACTCTCAGCGTATCGCTGAAAGTTCATCTGCAATCATAACAATTACCTGCCACCTGTTTACCTGTTTCATGAAAAAAATACATAATCACGACCACACACACACACACACACACACACACATACACACACGCAGACACACACGCACACAGACACACACACACACACATCCGGCCGAGTGTCATGGTGACACTGCAGAGGTGATGGGGACACCTGCTGACTCATATCATCACCTTCCCAGCAGAATGAGCCACATCACTGGGTTTTGTCGGGGACCACATAAATCGCATTAGGGCTGTAAACCCGTGGAAGGTTCCAGTCCTCTGTGTGTGTGTGTGTGTGTGTGTGTGTGTGTGTGTGTGTGTGTGTGCCCGACACCCCTGGCCCGCTTGACATGGCTCTGCAGCGGGATGCCATGTATAGGCGACACTGCGGTGACCTTTGACTTCATGTGTCTCTCTGAAACGGTGACCATCCCTCACTGACAGAACTACTGCGGACACCAAAGCCCAGTGGTAATCACTGCCAGGGACACACATGCAACACAGCACAGCGCGTCCCAGACTCGAGCCTGTCACCTCCCCCCCATGCAGTGAGCACGCAGCTGGCCGCTCTTCACCCTGCTGCAGTTACTGGCGGATGCAGTTACAGCTTAACAGAACCAGGCCGCCTTCCCCGCACTCACTTGCTTTCCGCTTACAAAGTCAGTGACCCAGTTTTCTCAGTTAGGAGCTGCTGCTATTGCCAGGGGTGGGGGGACACTGGCTGTCTCACAGAGGAAGGTCCAGGACACTGAATGCTGAGTCAGTTGGAGGACTGACAGGGTAACCCCTCAATGGTTTAACAGCTTTACCCCACCAAGATCGAGCCTGACTTAACCTACAGCCACACTCTCACACCCATGTGGATCCGAGTAGGTATGTACAGACATCATTGCTGCTTTAATCCCATGGGGTAAAAAGGAAAGCCCCCCCACCCCCACAACCTGTGATGTCACCACAGACAAGGGGGGTGAGGTGTGGGGGATGCAGGCCAATCAGAAGCTGCATTTAAACTTAATCACATGTATCTGCAGGACAAATCTCCTAGTGAGACTCAGCATCCCTCACCAGGGCCAGCCAGCATCCCGTTTGTCTCAGGGACACTTTCTGGATGCTTCTCCTTTCTCAGCTGTGAAGAAGGCGCTTCAGAATGCCCTCGTCCGCC